ATCTCAAACAAGCCTAAAGCCGCGGTCACACTAGACTTTGAGCAAGCAAAATTAGTTCGGACAGTGCTGTGAAAAGGGGTGGGAGCAGGATATGACATCACGCGCCAAGGTTTACACCTTTTTAACTAGACAGAACTCATAAAATATCCTCACTAGTCATAATACTTTTCTATTTAAGTGATTACAATCAGCCACAAGTATAGTTAATCAAGTACACACACGCACACATACCAATCTCATGCAATAAATAAATCACATACAATTACATGTTTCACTGTTCAAACGCTCCATCCGCTTCTGGTTTCCCTTGCCACTGCAAACCAAGCCACTTCTCTTTTTATGTGATTTTTGTAATCTTTTAAAGTTGTGTTATATAAAACAGCGATTCCTCCATGTTTTAAATTTCTGTACCGAGAGGTAACTTTGTGATTGATCTTCTATTGTTCACAAGCATTCACGTGACGCAAATTCGCAGGTCAGAGTTCACCAGACTTGAACTTTGCTACGCAGCAAAATATCTTTGCACGGGCTTGCGTTTCTGGTCCAATGCATTCGCATGCGTATGAATGGAAGTCAATGGAACGAAAAGTCTAGTGTGACCACAGCTTAATAACAACTAATAACAATTCATAAACTCAACAGACTCGTGTGTGATTGGTTATAATGTGCAACAGTGGAAAAAAAGTGGAAAAAGAATCATGGTGCAACATTGATCAGATCTACATTTAATGCTGCAGTCAACACTTCTCATTTCATTTTAATTTTATTCGCGACAGCCGTAATGGATTTAGTTTAACCATACAGCAGCATTTTTGTCCATGTGTGTTGCCATAGTTTCTACAAGCTGAAAACTGATAGCACGGACTTTATGTCATTGATACGCGCCAATGAACTGGGACGAGCCATTATTTAAAATTGGAATTTCTCTGGATTTTTACAAATCCTTGGGAACTTTTGGGATAACGACGTAAGTACACAACTGCATGAAATATATAACACTGTGTAAGCGGTTTTGGAATATTTTATTACGGAAATCTTACATATTGTGTCTCTGTAATTTGCATACAATTTAGTTGTGTTAACTTATATAGCCTAAGCATATATGAAAGATAATTCTGCTCCACAATAAAACTGTAGAAGTATTATGGTGTAAGAGGATGTTTCAATATCCACAGAAAATCCAATTCCTATGGACTGAATAAAATAGCTTAAGGGGCCCCTATCTAAGGGGTTTATTTCCAGAATGAGCACCTATTAAATGCTTCCAGGCTGAGTAATTACAAAAGTGCTGCTTCATTTGGCAGAACACCCTGGTGTCTCCACATGTTTTTTTTTTGTTTTTTTTGAAGGTATCATCTCTCTCATTCTCACTCCTCACAAGACTCAGGATATTGTCAAAGCTTTCTTAGTAGATTCTTCTTCACATAGACACGCAAAACTGAGAGTGACAGATTTAGAACGACATAGATGTATATATATATATATATACTGAACAAAATTATAAACGCAACACTTTTGTTTATGCCCCCATTTGTGAGGGTATTACGGGGGGGGGGATTTCTGGTTACCTGCCCAACCGGACCAGCACCGGGAGAGACCGTCCGCATTCCCGTGATCGGCCCCGGCCCGATGTTGTACTTGAAAGCAGAAGTCCTGGAGTGCGAGGAACCACCGTGTCACCCGGGCGTTTGTGTCCTTAAATGAATTTAATTCCTAAACCTCATTACTCCAAGCTAAGGTCAATATTCTCAAAACACCTGTGAAAACTTAAAGTAAACAAATGATGAGAACCCTGGAGAAAGGGCAAAAAGAGGTGGAGTGGGTAGAGGACGAGGAGAGAAACAATGAGAAAGAGGCAAAAGGTGCAGGAGGTAGAAAGAGATGTTGGGAAAGAAATAACGGATGGTGTAGGAAGAGGAAGCAAAGGACCGAGAGTAGTTGGCATTGAAAGAGTTCAGGAAAGAGCAAAATGTTTAAAAGTGGTGTGAGCAGAGAGGAAGAGGACGGGAGAGTAGACAGGACACAAATGAGATGAGAACTACTCAAATGAACCATGTTATGAATCACAATCTCTCCCTGAGAGAGGCTGGACAGAGAATTCAGCCTAATGTGAGCAGATCTACAGTGGCTTCAGTGTAGAGAGGGGAATGTCTTTGGTCAGACTGATATGAATGGTTTTAAAAGCACCTTTGTGATGGCCATGATGGTTTTTTTTTTTGTATGTTGTTGAGTTATTCTCATCCAGGAGATGGAAAATGACCCCTATGACAAAGTAACTCTTTTCAAAGCAATCCTGCCGAGATACTGAGGCACATGCATGTCGTCTGTTCTTTCCTTAGATGCAAAGTTTGAGAAAAAACATGATGAATATGTTCAATGGTTACAATAGCAAGTTGACTTCATACATTTGATAAACACGGTCGCTTAATAGTACAGTTCTGTCAGGTCCGCTTCCATCAAAGATAATTGACAATTAGCTTACAGTTTGGATTGGCGGCATGGTTCCGTTCTGGGTAAAAGCTCCGCACACAGTCTTGCATGGAAAAGAGCAGTGATCACACCAATATAACCCTGTGAACAGAACTGAAGCAACATGATATGATGATCCGTGATACATTATGTTCCTGATGACATTATGTTCCTGCCAGAACTGATGCTGTATGCCTGATTTGTTTGTCTATGGATAAACAAGAGAACCCTTCAGTAGTCGTGATGTTAGAATTGTTTTCAGAGCATTACATTAGTCTGGAGAACTTTGTAAATTCAATTGATAAAAGCATTTAAAAAATCTATATAAACATTAAACATGAATTGTATAAGTTTAAACATTAAAAAACATTACTCAAATATTAAAAGTTAAATTAAACAATTAAAAATGGCTTTTCTATTGGTTTATTAAATGTGTAACTGTAATGCAATCATTTCAGAAATAATAATAATCATATAAACTTTGCGTTCAGAGTATTTGGATTGCCATCTACAAGGCAGGGCTCAGGAAAGTCCCTTCTGCGACTGATGAGTTACCTACAATAAAATAGAAGTAATCAGAAATGAGGTGCTGGAGGCCTTCCATTGTGATTGACAGGCGTAGATAAACATACTCCTTCTGAACTTTCATTGAGAATTCCTCAAATATATTATTTAATTTCTTTGAAATGTAACATTTTGCTTTTACTTAGAATCTTGGACAGAAACCAACATTTAAAAAAAACAAAAATGGCACTTTCCATTATGTATGATACATTACAGTACGTCTTCCAATAATAACTTTTTTTTTAAAATCAAAATCAAGTGACTTTACACACACAAACTTGTGTACTTGTGGCTAAATGGGACTTTGCATAGATTTCTATTGTTTTTATAAAAATGAAGTGACGTTTGGCCACGTATCCATACTCTGGATTTATGCTCTGCATTTAACCAATCCAAGTGCGCACACACACAGTAGTGAACAAACACACACCATAGACACACACACACACCTGGAGCAGTGGGCAGCCATATTGCTGTGGCGCCAGTGGAGGAGTTAAGGGTTCAGTGCCTTGCTCAAGGGTCTCACCTCAGTCATGGTATTGCGGATGGAAGAGCACGTTGGTTATTCACTCCACCCACCGACAATCCCTGCCACACCTGAGAATCAAAGACCGCAACCTTCAGGTTAAAAGTCCGACTCTCTAACCATTAGGCCAGCTAGTTATGAATACTGCATCCTAACCATAACCTTGAAGGGCGGGACAAACCAAGCTGACAGTCAGTCATCAGTCATTGTCTTTGAGGGTTTGTCAGCTCAGTTTTTGCGGTATGTTCCACATCAGCAGCACAAGTTGCACCCCATTATTGACTTTTTGGCTGATTAAGCATTTTGAATCGGAATCGGGCAGTCACTGAGACAGATCACTCTGATTGGCTGTTCATCTTACCGAATCAGTGCACAAGAAGAATAGCAAAAGTGATATAGCAAAAATGTGCTGTTTCACCGTAACTGTAAAATACTTGAGTAATTTTAAATTATTATTTTAGTTATGTATTATTTTAGGGGACTTGTCCTTTCCTCAAGCGCCATTTAAACTGACTACTTGTACTTTTACTTGATTACATTTCTGAAGAAAAAAAAAACAATACTTTTTACGATTTTTATTTCAACTTGAAAAGTTACATGTTTACATTTTTATTTTATCTTACCCACATTAAATATGACAAATGGAATTTCAAACATGCACGCTTGAGTGCAAGAAGTAATGTTTGTTTTGCACATCAAGCACACATGTTTCTGCTTCAGTTATTACTTTCATCAGGAACATTTCTGGCTTCAAAAGTTAGCAAAGTTGCTTTTCAGAAATTTCCTAGAAAGTTCAGAAATTTCCTAGATAAACGATTGAAAGATTAATTATTGTTGCAGACAGGTGTTTGAACTGACAAAATAAAAAGTGGCTTTAAAAGTCAATATTGTATGATTTAATTCTATCACTCATCATCAGTGGTGTATAAAGTACCTGAAAGCCATACTTAAGTAAAAGTACAGATATCTTACCAGAAAATGACTTTGGTAGAAGTTGAAGTCACCGTTTAGAATATTACTTGAGTAAAGTCTTAAAGTATGTGATTTATTGTACTTAAGTATGAAACTTATGTTTTTTTAATCTTAAACATACTTAAGTATTGAAAGTAAAACTACAAGTAAATGCAAAATGGAAAAGAAGCAAATATATATACACTGTAAATTATTTCCAGGATTTCACAAGATGTTACTGTAATATTTCACAGTAAATTACATTATTATCACTTCACAGGCTTTAACTGTGATATTTCACAGTATAATAACGTTTTCAGAATTTCACTGTGAAAATACTGCAGGCGGGGCAGTTACAGGAAACTACTGTGAATTTGCACATGATTTTTCATCCAAGCTCTCTCGTTTCCGCCGAGGTCTCATCGACGGATTCAGCAGTAAGTGTTAAAATGTCAAATTCTGTCAATTTAATGACTGTTTTTCATATATATACAGTGGGTACGGAAAGTAGTGCATGTAATTTAAAAGTATTAACCAAATAGCGTTACAGTAGTTGTAGGTTTTGGTTAACATTCTTGCATAGGTTTGAGCGCGCCAATTTTTTAAATAAGAAATGAACAGACATTGGTTGGTTGTAGTGTTAATTGTACCGTATTAAGTTGATATCTAACTGAGACATGAAGCATTATTTGAGAAAAAAAAAAGGTAATTATCTGTTAACTTTAACATGAGCTTTTCTTAGAGCTAACAGCATTCTCTCTTTCCCTGCTATTCTCTCCTCAGCATTTTTTCTGCGGTGACCACTGGGGAATAAAGTTGTTAGGTAAGCTGTGGCCTTCACCTATAGGAAATGTATTTTATATTATCAACCAGATAAATTATACTGTCGTGGATTAGGGCAAAGATAGAGTAAATTCATCTCTAATTAGTAACGTTAGCTGGGCTTCTTCTCAATTTTCTCTGATGCTGTGTGTGTGATACGGAGGTGCAGGCAGCCGTTGCCAGTCGCCTCAAGTGAAAAATGAAGCGCGCATGTCAGGATTCGAATTAAAATATTGTTTGGGGGAAAAACGTTACTCCTTTTGATCGTCTTTGTTTCTGGAATAGAACATTCCTCTGCCAAATGTACTGCGTGTCAGTTTCAACGTTGTTAGACCAAACTGCACTCATCTGTGTTTTGCAAGAACATTAACGTTGGTTATAACTAGACAGTCCAAAGGACTTGCAGTGATTTGTAGTTGTAGATTATACGTTTATAATTATTGGCTTTTAATCGTTATCTTTTTATGGTGTTTGTATTCGTGAGCCACCTTACAGCAGTAGTGATTGTAGTTACAGGTTGGTGAAGTAGCTTTCTAGCTACACACACTGTGCATTTTAAGGCTGGCAACCTGAGTTTTTCTGTTATGTTATATATCCCATATTTTCATGTTTATCTTTAACTAATGTGTATATATCGTTCATTTCTTTTTATGTGGTTCAGTAGTGTTTAGTCATTTCTAATATGTTAACTTGGTGTTATTAGGGCAGTCTTCTAGCTATAATTATCCAAAATAACAGGATTGTTGGTTTTAAATCCCTGTTAGCGCCGTATTTTGTTTTTCTCAACAGAATAGAACACGATGTTCAACTGTAAATTCAGCTTGTGTGAGCATGTGTCTGAGACTGTTATTGAGTTTGTTCAGCACTCAAAAAAACTGCATAGCAGCGCTCCCAATTATAAGTACCATTGCAGTGCATGCCTGAATGCTCTCTTATGTATCGCACAGCAAATGTATTAAAAACTCATTTGTATAGAAAGCATAAAGGGCTTGGATCATCTGTGCAAACTTGCATGCAATTTGAAACTCCCTTAAAATGTGTGGCTCAGTTTTGTACAGTTACATGTGACACCTTAAGCTCCCTCATCAAGCATTTGCACAAATTTTGACTCTGTGCTACCATAGGTGCAGATTTTTAAAGGGATAGTTCAAAAATTAAAATTAGCCCATGATTTACTCACCCTCAGGGCATCCTAGGCGTATCTGACATTCTTCTTTCAGACGAACACAATCACAGTTATATTTAAAATTGTCCTGGCTCTTACAAGCTGTATAATGGCGGTGAAAGGTGCCCCTGTTTTTGAAGCCTAAAAACCTCCATCCATCCATCCATCCATCCATCATAAATCTACTCCACACGGCTCCGGAGTGTTAATATAGGCCTTCTGAAGCGAAACGATGCGTCAGTGTAAGAAAAATATTGATTTAAAAAAATGTATAAACTGTAATCTCCAGCTTCCGGTCGCTCAAGGAGGTACGTTCACGACAAGGCGTTCAAGTGTATGACGTAGGCGTAGCAGAAGACACAACGTAAGCTCCGGGGAGAAGAGTGTAGTCTCGTGAGAACCAAGTTTTGTTTACAGCACAGGGAAACCACGTGAACTACATCTGTAGTTTTTGCCGCCGCTGCAGCCTCCATCTCGTGGAGTTCCTGTTCGGTTTACTCCGATTCAAACAAATATGGCTGGGCAAAAAACTCATTCTCTTCTTGCCTTATATCCCGACATTTTCACTCAGAATCTTAGTTTTTGTAGTACTAGTTCGTGACAGGTGTTTTGTTTTGCTTTCTCCTCTGGGTTTCTGTGTTCGTCACTTACGTTGTGCCTTCCACTACGCCTACGTCATACGCTTGAACGCCTTGTCGTGAACGCGCCTGCTTGAGCGACCGGAAGCTGGAGATTACAGGTTATAAATAAAAAATATATATATAATTTTCTTACACTAACGCATCGTTTCGCTTCAGAAGGCCTTTATTAACACCCCGGAGCCTTAGTTTTATGATGGATGGATGGATGGATGGATGGATGCAGTTTTTTAGGCTTCAAAAACAGGGGCACCTTTCACTGCCATTATATAGCTTGGAAGAGCCAGGACAATTTAAACATTTTTAAATATAACTGCTATTGTGTTTGTCTGAAAGAGGAATGCCAGATACGCCTAGGATGCCTTAAGGGTGAGTAAATCATGTGCTAATTTTCATTTTTGGGTGAACTATCCCTTTAGCAGTTGAGTCTTATTCTACTCTTATTCTATTGATTTATTATTTTTGCAGCCTTGTGCCACAGCCGCTGACGTTGAAGGGACTATGACGCTACCAAGCACCCCTCGCTTGATTGTCCAAGGTAATGTTGATGTCTTCCTAATTTTTTATGTATTTTCAAGTGTCAAGCTGTCCACAGATTTGTTGTGAGCAGTTTCATGTAGGATCTATTTTCTTTCTAACTATTAGAATTATTGCAATTATTATTATTTTTTAATTATTCATGTAAGACCCAGTAGATAGAATATGCTGCCATACTACTCTTTTCACTCTAATTTCTTAAAAAAAAAAAAAAAATATTGATTCCTTTTCTGAAAACTAGGGCATGATGACTATATATGGTTTTGTTTCAGATGACACAATGAAGCCGAGGACATGGATGCTGTCTTTGGAGGGTCAAGTGGTCATGGGGCCTCACCCTGACTTTACAACTGGTCTGGCTGCCATTTTTGCCAGCTACTATAATTTCAATCTGAAATATCCTGACGATGCTTCTTGTACTCTGGAATTTATCCAAAGGTAATGTCTACATTAATATTGTATTTGAGGGCTTTTTTGTTTTATTTGGTGGGTTAAACAAGGATTGTTTGGATGTGTTGTGTTTTTACAAGCCGCACAGGACTTCAGCAGCCAAACAATGAAGACCCCCATCTCCCCCTCAGACAAGTGATGTGTTGTAGACTCAACTATTGTGTCTGTGCTGGAGACCAGAGAGGAAGCTGTTTTTAAAAGGGTGGAGCTCTTACTCCATCCTCTACAAACAGTATATGTAAATTATATAAATTGTGTGCAAATGCTCTGCCTGGGTAAATCACACACCTCTACTTTGTTGCAGGATTTCTCTTGACTGTGTTTGTGATGGAAATGTTTTCCAGTTGCTGTTATCTAAATGGGTGCAGTTTAACTGAACCACTATGGCAAGCCGTTTTGACTTTTATTCCTTCACAGGATATGAATTCTTGATATCAACAATTTGATTTTCACTAGTTAAGAATTCTTGATATCAGAAATTCAATTTCAACTAGTAAAAACTATCATTCTTGATATCTGTAATTGTATTTTCACTAGTTAAATGTCACCATAGGCTGCCATTCAAATTCAATTGTTGATATCAAGAATTGATTTTACTAGTTGAAATTCCAATTTTGCATATCAGAAATACTATTCTTACTAGTAAAAACCTTTATTTTTTATATCAGTAATCACGTGGTTACTCGTGGAATGGCTATTCTTGATATCAACCATTGAATTGTTACTAGTAAAAATGTTCATTTTTTATATCAATAATTTGATATAAAATGTTAATTTATGATATCATGAATGTGATTGATACTAGTAAGCCATTTTAGATATCAAAAATTACTCTCCTCATCAAAAATTACTCTCATTAGAAATACATTTTCAAATATCAGAAATAACAAATGTAACATGTTGAAATACATTTAAAGATATCAAGAATTAACATTTCATCTATTACCAATTGAATTCTTGATATAAGGAATTAGCATTTTTACTAGTAACAAAGTAATTATTGATATCAAAAATTATGTTTCTACTAGTAATAAATACAAAGCTGACATGTTTATTTAGAATTTTAACTGTAAGAAATGCATTTTTTTAAATATCTGTAATAATTTTGTCACCCTTTTAACATTTAACCATAGAACCACAGTAATGTCACCTTGTTCAAACTGAGCTAACTTAAGTTTTGCTCTGTAGTGCAAAAGCTGTGATCTACTAAAGGTGGTGACTGGTTAATGACATCTTTTTCATCCCACTTGAATGAAACTAACAGCTTTCCTCTGCCTTTTTGTTTATAGGTGCTCCTTGGGAATAAATCCAGAGACAGGCACGAAGTCAAAGAGGCAGAGAGGTCCCATCAGCCAACAAGTCTGCACACTAATCAGAAAACTCAATGATTTTGAATGGATGACAGTCTAGAATGTAAGCAGTGTTTCGCCAGAACAGACCAACCAAACACTGGCTCGGTGTTAAGTCGCATGCAGTTATGCAGTAAGTTAGTCATTAAATAGGTTCTTATAGTGTCTCTTCATTCAATGGAGAGACGCAAATTAAATGTGTAAGAATAAATGTTCACAACAATTTATTGTGTTTTTGTGTTTATTTGAATTTAACATGTTATAGGTTATTAAAGGGACAGTATACCCAACAATTTAAATTCTCATTGTTTGTATTTACCTGAAGAAAAAAAAGTCACATGGGATGAGGGTGTGAAAGATGGATTTTTTTGTGTTCAGCTGTGCTGCATTTTAATTGATGCACTAGATATATAGGTTTGACCTGTGCCATTGCATTTTGTTTTGTTTTCCTCTTTAAACCAAAGCTTTGTATGTCAGTCTGACAAATCATGTTATGCAATGTTATGCAACTGCATTGAGAAGATAATTCAAAATGATCCCTATCTAGACCTCATCTCTCATCTTTATTTTTGTTAGGTTTTGCTGTGTTTAAATTCTTAGGGATTCACATCTTTAACGACCTTACATGGACAATCAACAGCTCCACACTGGTCAAGAAGGCTCACCAGCGCCTGTTGTTTTCTGAGAATTCAGAAAAACAATCATCTCTCTTCAGAAAAAAATCTCTCCGTGTCAAAAAAAAAAAAGGATGCTCTGTGTCAGACCGGAAAGCACTGCAGAGGGTGGTGAAAACTGCTCAACGAATCGTAGGAACTGCACTCCCAAACATGGAAGATATTTTCAGGAAACGCTGTCACAGGAAAGCACACATCATAAAAGACTTCTCTCACCTTGCTAATTGACTGTTTGACCTCCTACCATCTGGGAGGCTCTACAGGAGCCTCCGGACCAGGACTAGCAGGTTCAGGAACAGTTTTTTTCCCCACAGCTGTTTCCATGCTGAACTCCACCCCCCCATCATTACCACACACTGAACTGTATTCCACTGCACTGATCAATCTATGCTACATTGGCTACATTGCACTTAAAAAATAAATAAACTTGCACTACTATAACCATGTCCATATTATATATAATAGCCCACTTCATGGTACTCTCATATCATTTTGTACATATGTGACCCTGGACCACAAAACCAGTCTTAAGTCGCGTGGGTATATTTTTAGCAATAGCCAAAAAACATTGTATGGGTCAACATTATTGATTTTTCTTTTATGCCAAAAATCATTAGGATATTAAGTAAAGATCATGTTTCATGAATATATTTTGTAAATTTCCTACCGTAAATATATCAAAACCTAATTTTTGATTAGTAATATACACTGCTAAGGACTTCATTTGGACAACTTTAAAGGCGATTTTCTTAGTATTTTGATTCTTTTGCACCCTCAGATTCCAGATTTTCAAATAGTTGTATCTCAGCCAAATATTGCCCTATCCTAACAAACCATACATCAATGGAAAGCTTATTTATTCAGCTTTCAGATGATCAATAAATCTCAATTTTGGGAAATTGACCCTTATGACTGGTTTTGTGGTCCAGGGTCACATATGTTAATCATTTTCATAAGCTTATATCATAACTGATATACACAAGATTTTTCTTCATTGCACTATTCCTAACCACTGCACTTACTGTATATACCCCCCTTCTATGTACTGCTTCTGTCATTCAGATATTTATTTATTATCAACTGTATATATGCAAATAACCTCTACCAATGCACTTCTGGTTAGACGCTAACTTTATTTCGTTGCCTTGTACTGTAACATGTGCAAAGACAATAAAATTGAATCTAATCTAATCTAATCTTATTCAAACTCATGTCGACACAGGTCCCACGTGCTTCACTCTTTCCACAACACCACGACTCACATGTGTGCTTCACAATGGACTGGGCGTGTTCCAGCAAAGATCCCGACACCCTCCCTTCGACGCAAACAACACGGCCCAGCGTGGACAGCAAACTGATCTGCATTCTCACCAAGACTGTGGAGGATCTTGGCCTAGCCTGGTCGGCTCCTAGTCGCCTGCAGACTTTTAGACGAGTGGCACCTGAAGGCATGCCGTCAAAAATCCTCCCGCCAGCGGCCAGCCCCGTTCTTCCCGGAAGTTCACAAAGAACTCAACAGGACATGGCATGCCCCCTAATTGGCGCGTGTTAATCCCTCTGCTGCTGCCACTCTCACAACTGTTCACGGTGCTGAAGAATGAGGTTATGGCAAGCTCCCCCCTCTGGAAGAGGACGGGCACTGCGCATCTGTGCTCTCCATTGGCCCTGGGGTTTAAAGCCCATGCAGCACACCCATCAAAGCCCTGCAGATTTACCTCAGGCCTAGCAAACAGGGCTTATTCAGCGGCTGGCCAGGCTGGTTCAGTGCTTCACACAATGGTGGTGCTCCAAGTGTTTCAGGCCAAACTTCTCCACACCATGGACAAGTCCGGCCAGAGTTCTGATGTCTTTAGAGAGCTCTGCACGCTACTAAGGCCACTGTGCAGGCGACTGGCAAGGCCATAGCCAGTTTGGTGGTCCTGGAGTGCCACCTTTGACTAAATCTGACGGAGGGACGCTGACAAAGTTGCCTTCCTAGACTAGCCAGTCTTTTCCAAGGGACTATTTGTCCTGTCATGGATGGTTTTGATGAGCGGTTTACAGCAGCACAGAAGTCATCAAAGGCAATGTGTCACTTCCTGCCGAAGCACTCCAGTGTGACGGATGTTTCAAGTCGCCTGAAGAATCCATCCTCTCAGCAGAGGCGCCGCCTCTGCTCCAGCCCCATTCCCAGCCCCAGCCTAAGTTTGTGCCTGGGCTTCAGCAGCACCACCGGATGGCAAAACAATACCCAGGCATCAAGGTCTCCGCCCCAGAGTGACATTGGACCCTGAGCCTCAGAAGCCATCCTGAACCCAATGCAGAGTAGAAGAGGAGAGGGTCAGTTCTCACTGAGGATGGAACTCCCTCAAAGAAGTTTCACGCTCACTCTCCATCACTCCACTTAATTCAGGCTGGGCCCGCCATTCTTATTCAGTGCGTGCTCAAGCAAAATACCACTGTTACAGCGGACCCACATACTCAAAAGAGCATTTCTCTTCTCCTCATTACTACGAATGTCAGCTCCCCGCCCAGTGCAGCGAATTGCCACTCTAAAAACTCTTCTAAAAACCAAAGAATGAGACTACTCACTTCAGTTCACTCGCAGGCCATCTCGCTTCAGAGGTATTACTCAAACTTCGGTATGAGACATTGGTGCTCACGTTCTCTGGTCCGAAGTGCAAACACTGCTTGCAAAAGGAGCCGTGGAAATGGTTCCTCTAAAGAACAGCGAGTTGGGCTTTTACAGCCGTTACTTCCTTGTTCCTTAGAAAGATGGTGGGCTCAGGCTCATTCACAATCTCAGGCATCTGAATCACTCACTCATGAGACGGCCGTTCAAGATGCTGACTTTTAAGGAGGCAATAACATGACAGGAGCTAGCAATGCAAAGTTTTAAACAATACTCTCACACCTTGGAAGGACTGTCAATAAAATCAGCCAAAATGTGTGTGGGTTAATAACACTGTGTACTGTCTCTACACTCTGCGTTTTGTTTTTGTATAGATGACCCTGCTGACAGTCGAAATGCGAGTACTGGCCATGTTTTATAGACAGGCCACTTAAGATGAACTGATTGATCATGCAGATTTCTGTTGTACCACTTGTGTTATTTTAAGATAAAAAGCACATTTTGGTAGTTCATGTCGATTGGTATATTGACATTATATTACTTAATGAAATATATGGTTATAAGTTGTAAAAGATATAGCCATCCAGTAATAATGAAAACAATGCATAGCTTCCAGATCTGTATTGTATATTTTTCTGTTTATCATCATCATCATCATCATTATTATTATTATTATTATTAATATTATTATTATTGTTGTTGTTGTTGTTATTTACTATAAACTTGAACATGAAAATTTATCAGTAAACATTTGCTGAAGTATTACTTCAAAAAAACTATATATATATAATATTAAAGGGGTCAATTGGATACTCTATCAAAAGAGTAATCACAACTGCATGCCAAGCATACTTACAATACCTAAAAATAATTAATTAAACTTAATTAAATACAAGTACAGTATAGGCCATATATTTTTGTCAGTATAAGGCAAGTATACTTCAATATAATTTTAAGTATGTCTCTGATATGTACATAAAAAGTGGACGGAAAGTACACTCTTATTTAAAATAATTGTACTTACGTGCCGTTGTGCAATTGATTATACCGTATTGACCCGAATATAAGACAATGTTTTTTTTCTTGGAAATACATCTGAAAAAACGCGGTCGTCTTATGTTCAGGGTCTAGACTTTGACATGTCAATAATACATCCACAACAATAGGTGGCGCCAAATACGCACAAAACGAGTGTGCCATGAAATACGTAATGTAATGCGTGTTGTAAAGATCGCGAGTAAAAACAAAAGAAAAAGAAAAGCTTACAGCTGCATGAGTCGTGACTGTCACGTTAGCCTGATGGGACCAAACTCTCTTTGTGATTTTAAAACGTAAGACAGTACCCAGATTTGAAGACTACAGTAAGATGTAACTTCTACTGTTAATAAGAGTTTGGTAGGTTACTATTAGATGGATAGCCTAAATGTCCTAAATCAGATGGGCTACCTGTTTTATTTTTATTTTTATGGTATATCAAAAAGTGTATATTTTTTAAATGTGATTGTTGGTACATTTTACCAACAAGTTTTTACCATACTTTCAAAACAAAAATTAAAATAGGAAAAATATGCAATATGAAAATAATTGAAGACAAAATGTGTTTTACTGAGAAAAAACAAGATTTGTCTTTTAAAAAGTCTTTTTCCAAAAGGTACATCTGGAAAAAGGGGGGTCGTCTTATAATCAGGGTCATCTTATATTCGGGCCAATACGGTACTTATCAATTGAATAAACGTTTTGTAAGGATTCATGCAGGATGTGTGTTAATTGAAAGGGTTCAGATAGGCAGACTATCAGAAGTTCTGGATATTCTCTAAATAAACAATATTTTCAAAGACTTGTTTTATGT